GCCACAGTGCTAGATAAAACTTCTTTAAGGCACCTGAGAGAGAGAGGGAAAGAACACCTCCAGAGAGCAGCCTGCTGATAGAACCTACTTCTAACAATATGGTGAGTGTCATTTTAAAATACCATGAGAAATATGATGTGGTGATCAAGGACTTCCTGCTTTAAGGGTTTCATGTATCAGGGTAACTAGACAAAAAATGTAGTTCCCAGGGTGAAAATTATATTAACAAAGAATTAGTAATAAAGCTGAATAAATGTAATGAGATGTGAAAGAGAGTGCATAGCACATTTTTTTCTGTCTTTCATAATTAGGCCCTGAAAGAAATGGAAATTCAGACAAAACACCTTCCTCATTACCAATTTAAATATTGGAAATTAAAATGTGTTGTTATTGGATGGCCAATTTTTTATTTTTTGTGGGTTTTTTTGGGGGGGTGGGGAGAGGGTCGCAAGGTGAAGACGCTTCCTTTAGTGGCTGTTTTAGAAGAAAGGATTTTGCAAAATGGTTGTTAACTGATTCTCGCTCCTGGATTTTACTCCTCCTTTCTTTGCTGAAATGATATTTACCCAAACTTTGCTGACAGCCTGCATGCTACAGGGGTGGCCCACAATCATCCTTTGTTATTCTCACCAGCTATTTTTCATATCTATTAAATCTCAAAGATTCCCAGTGTAAGTTGGAAAAACAGTATGTGCTTAATTTGAACCAATTAATTCCACAACAAATGCAATCTCTCTTGGCCTCTTTTATAAACCAGAACATCAAACAGCTGTTCTCCCATCCCAGGAAAACTAGCATGTAACTTTTACTAGGGAATATTAGGTGAAACAAGACACCAGACACAGGGATCTATCTCAAACAATAAATCACGTTTATTTATTAGCGACTCAAAGCATGTAAGAGAAACTTTTCATGAAGTTTTTATTTCTACATTTTATAAATCTTTAGAGTAACAGTGACTAATCTCTAGTTCCTCTCCTCTGTCTTAGTGTTTTGTACAAAGCATAAAACTCCTTTCTAACACTGAAATAATATTCTATCTGAAACACAAAATATGCAAAACAATGTTGTGTTATGGGGACAGTTACTAACCTCTGAACTGGGTTCTAGAAACTTACGCTATGCTTGAATTTACTACCATGTATGCTCAGTCTGCATAAGTATATCCTATCTATTAAGTACATTTTGGCTAGTTTTGTCTGAGTGAAGGAAGCTGGGTGACACACATATATATTTATCATAATCAAAACACTGAAGGAAATACACATAGGCCTGGGAAGTATTTCAAAATGAGAAAAGGTTAGATGAGTTCTGAGCACTTCATCTATGTTGGCCATCTCTGTGATGTGCTTTGTGATATAGGGCTCCACTCAGTCTGGTGCAGGAGCTTTGCCCTGAGCTCTTGGAAAGCAAGTGGATTCAGCCTCCAAATATTTCTGCTGTATCAATCCTCTTCTTGTCTTCTACCTAAAGGAGATGGTGCAGATCTGGGAGCAACCTGCATCAGTATCTTCTGGGAGTTTTTGGCAGCTATTATCATTCTGAACTACTGTTGCTTTAACCTATACTTGGCCACACAGTCTAGTACAGATGCACTTCCAAAACATGGGTGGAGTGGAGGTTGTGAATTTATCGCACTGACTCTACGTGCTTGCTTTAAATTTTGAAAAGCATAGGAAGATGTGTGAAGTTTTTGCTTCTGTGAATTTGTTGAAACTGTAGTCTTTATTACAACTGCCACTGTACTTGTAGGCATGTGTTTGAATAGTCTTCCCTATAATTGCTCTGTATGTCTTTGTTTTTCACTTTTGTTTTTGCAGTCCCTGAGGACAAAGGTTATTTAAAGTCAGGTCAGTTTTAGTATGGATGGTCTGCAAGAGAGGTGGGGGTTGCCAAATTCAGGGTAATGCCCTTACTCTTCTCTGTGTTGGCTGGTGGAACTAAGCAAAAGCCCTGTTACCCATCACATCCCTTTTAAGTGTCCACAAGACTTGTCCGTGCTGTTCTTTTAAAATGCTCTGGCTGGGAGACAGAGCCTGGTATGGATTTGATTCAACTCTGATACCTTCATTCTGCTTGTGCCCATTTTTGTGTATGGTAACTCATATAGATACCCCTTACAGAAGACCTTAGTAGTAATGAAACTCTGCCCATGGTGTAAGCCTGTGGTTTGCTATGCTTTTGCTCTCTTAGTACCTTGCTGCTATTGCTCTTCTCCTTTGCTTTTGGTGTTCTTCACCATTGCAGTTTCTTTAGAAAAACAAAGAATATTACCTTGAGGTGAAGCTAGCATACAATGACTTTGTGTGGAATCAATCACTTTACCTTTTCTACCTTTGCAAAAACCAAAATATAATAGAGAAAAAAAAATCCTTCCCACAAGACTGAGTAGTCATTTCTTCTGACTCTTTCTATAAATATTATCTTTCAGTAGCTGTGTTGTTTCTATATAGAGAATGTGGGTATCAAACTTGAATTTACAGACTGGGGGACCTCATAAATGGCTTTGTAACTGGAACAAGGCAGGTAATCGCTATCTGCTGACTATATGAGAGAAAATGAAAGTTGCGTTTACACCATAAACTGCGTATTTCTTGATTTCAGAGCTGGTGGTTGATAACCTTAATGTAAATCTATATTAATTTTCTCAGTGACATTGTTCTGATTCTGTAGAAGGAAACGAATAAATGGCTTTTTCCTAGTTGTCATAGTTTTGGCTGGGATGGATGGATGCAGTTTTCTTTGTAGAGTCTTGTATTATGCTGTGCTTTTCCATGACACTAGCCAATCTTTTATTTATTCTCTTCAAATTAGTAGTGTGTTATATTTCATGGAATAGTTTGTATACAATCTTCTTGCCAATATAAAGATATTTAAACTGTAAAAGGTCCCGAAGGTCTCCAACCGAATTGATCTACGTTGTTTGGAAACACTGTTAAAATATTTGCATTCTTGTTGAAATGTGGGCCCTGAAAATGTGTGTTTATGGGATCAGCTTAAAAAACGTACTTTTATATTTAGGCAGATTTGCAAATACAGGTCTAGGAAGTCAAACTTACTGTTTTGATTTTTTTTTTTTTAAACAGGTCTTGATAAAATTTTCCTTAAATATACTCTTTGCACTCCCTAGAAGTTACATAACTGAAGTATTTTAATTATTTCCATGATGTTGGTTTGTTTTGAAATATCTATTTTGTCAGACTCAAACTAATTCAGTGTTCACCACTTCATTGTAAACTGATGCTTTTGTACATTGAGTGCTTTCAGAATCAACTTTGAGACTTTCACATTTTGGATACAAGGTCAACAAGATAATCAGTCTCTAGTGCTCTAAACTTTTTTCTCTACTTCTTGTTTTTAATGTGATTAAGTGTGTTACTTGGGTTATTAAGTTATTGCTAAATCTTTGGTCTTTTAGTAGAAGTTTCGAGGTCGAATTTTTACCTACAATAAAAAATGCGTGTGTCTGTATTGAATAAATTTCTAGGTGTCAATACTCTGCAATTAACAGTCGCATGCTTCAAGACTTATTTCTCTCTAGATAGAAATTGTTCTTTAGTTATTGCTTTCAAATCTGGTCACAGGTGGAGAAAATAGGACAGTGAGCAAGGGCATTGGCTTTCTCCCAGTACTTTGTCTAAATGTGAAAAATGAAGATCTGATGTTTATTTCGTTAACATAACCCAAATTGTCCAAAAACTCTTTGAAAAGACATTTCCTTTCAGCTTGTGGCAATGATAGATATTGACACAACTAAACACCAGGCTAAAAGAATGAAAAGTGATATAAGAGATGCATAAGCATAATGAGGTACCTTACTGGCAAATAATCAGCTTTAGAAATATCGCCTGTACTTTCAATGTTTTCCATTATTTCTTGTCATGAAAGCTGTATCGGGTGACGGAAGAGCCTTGTGCTTAGAGAATTCTAACAGTTTTTGTCCTGTATGACTGAGGTGAAGATTTGTTGATGTCAGTCACTGGCAGACATATTAAGGACCTAAAATGTCTTGTTAATGGCTAATGCAGATGAGTGTTCTCTTTCAATGATACCTGTATAAGAACGAGTGAAGTAGAAGCAAAGATGCTGCAGTAGCTAATAGTAATGCCATCCCTGATGTGTTATCAAACAGCTAAAAATGTTCACCAACAGAATAAACAAAGGATTTGGAGAGTTAACTACATGTAGAAAAACTGAGTGTTTACCACAGAAGAAAATATACTTTCATACTTATTTTTTACGCCCAAACATTACTCCTTGAGAGTTGTCATATTTTATGAAAACTTTTATTAACACTTCCCAATGACCTTACACCCATTGTGTTTTTATCAGTCCCAAGAACCATAATCTGTTTAAAATATTTTTTTATCTTTATAAACACAATAAAGTAAGCTGTCCTGCACACAGATTTGTAGATCTCATTAGAGATGCTTTTTAAAAGGTACTCCATCTCTTGGGAAGATGATGACAAGTAATCTTGGCACACAAAGTTTTCAGACCAGAATGGTTTGTTAAAATTGATTGTTTAATCTTTCCAATGTTGTTTTGGAGTGGGTGTACTTTTTAATTGTACTTGTACACCACTTTATGACTTGAATGAGAGAAAGACAAGGGCATCTGAAAACAAATCCAGTGGCAATATCAGTTAGATCATATCCCAGGTGAAAAAATAGCCAAAGTATTTGTTTAAGTTTTCAAGCATTATCAAAGTCATGAAAGAAAAATGGCAGTTTTAAAACTCATTAAAGTTAACATTTGTCTGTATTGTAAATGAGGTATATTCCCCAGGGTAGTTAGCAGCTTTGGTGGCACAAGATGGGGGTAATTTTTCAGATGTACTGTTTCCAGTGGGCCAGTGTCCTAAGGCTTTGCTTTAAATGGCCTTTTTATGCAGTAGGATAATGGGCAGTTTGTGCATTGCTAAATCAGCCCTATTTTGTTAGGAATGTTACAGTCAGGGCACTTACAATTTGTCAGAGGAAATGCAGAACATCTCTACAGGAGTCTGTTTAAGAGGACATCATTTCTCGATAAGCTCTTGCTTAGGTCAACATGCAGCACTGCTCTTACACTATTCCCCTGTTGCTTCTGCCACACGGGA